GAGTGTATATATATACATACATACAAACAAATGTATAATACACAGCACTAGCTCAAATGATTATGCCTTTTAAATTAGCTCAGGAGCTACTGCTATGTTTATTAGCTCTGGAATTATATTAGCTTGGGAGCTAACGCTATATTTATTAGTTTTGGAGCTAACACCATTACATTATTAGTTCAGGAGCTAACACTAAATCTACTAGCTCAGTAGTTAAAGCTTTATTTATTAGCTCTGGAGCTATATTAGCTTGGAAGCTAATGCTGTATTTACTAGCTCAGGAGTTAAAGCTTCCTCTGTTAGCTCTGGAGCTAACACCATTATATTATTAGTTTAGGAGCTAACGCTATATTTACAAGCTCAGTAGTTGAAGCTTTATTTTTTAGCTCTGGAGCTAAAGCCATTTATTGCAACATATACAGTATATCGTCTCAGGAGCTAACAGGCTAAAGCTGAGGTTCTCCTTCCATGAAGCAGCTCTGTTGTCCTCCATCCTTATTTTTATTTTTAGGCTCAGTCATTTCTACATTCTACTCTCTGTCAAGACGCTCCAGTTTATTTTAAAAGGACTGAACGTCACACATTGCTCAAAATTAATGTTCAAGTTTGACAGAGCATGCACCGGAGCTGCCTGTAAACGTAATTTACCCAGAACTCTTTGCGGCGTGAATGACATTGCAACATCCGTCTGACCATATCTTTTTTTAATTTAAAAATAAACAGCCTACATTATTTTTGCAGTTATGATTTTATAGATGAGGTAAATTTTTATTWAACAATGTCTTCGTTACAGTTAGTTGGAGTTCCCTTTAAGTTTGCTCTCATGTGACATCACTAAATGTTGAGGATAATTCTTGGCTGCTACTACATCAAATTTGAGCTAAAAAACATCTATAATAGTGATATTTCTTTACTGTTTTCATTAGGAGGCCCTCTCTAATGTAAATTTTTATTTATGATCTGAATAAAAAATCTTTGCCTTAAAAAGCTGAGTCATGTTTTATCTTTAATAACTAATGTGGTTCCTTGTAAAGCTGCAGAGTTCTGCTGTGGCCTCTCAGCCCCCGGTGTTACTAACMGCTTCTATCCCAGAGTTGTCTTTGATGGAGCAGCTCAGCTCCGACATGAATAAGTCATGATGGAACCAATTACTGTCTCACCTCGGCACCGTAACACCTCCCAGTCCAGGAGAACTCACAGGACTTCCCTGAAACTGTCCAAACCTCTGACGAGAAAATCAGTGCGGACCACGACAAATCTAGGATCGAAGCTGCTGAAAATAAATTACGGTAAGATCTTCCTCCGTTGTTATGATTTCCGGATGCTAATGTTGGTCTAATATGATTTACTGTCGAAGCAAAACAAACTGCATCCTTCACAAGAAGAAAGTTTCAATAAAAACTAATTAAATTATCYATTATAAAGGTGGCTTATCAATCTTTTCCAAATGGCAGGTCTCTGAAGGCTTTGTTAGTGAAATGCAAACCTGCAGTATTTTGTGAACTTTGCAGAGTGAGATTGATTTGGCGGAACGGGCTGCCCRGTAAGATGCCTGATTAAATGAGACSCAGGACTGTTGTGCATCAARYGTGSCAGTTCAGGAGCTAATAGTTAAGTTTGGAGGAGATTATTAAGAAACTGGACTTTGTTTTGAGATGAAACAAAGCAAACACTGTTAACAGGGACTCCATCCTCCATGGCTGAGCCCGGCCATCCTACAAATGAAACTCATTTTGGCCGCTTGTACCCGGGATCTCGTTCTTTTGCTCTTGATCATAACTTCATGACCATAGGTGAGGGTTGGAGCATWAACGGACCAGTAAATCGAGGTTTGCCTTTAAAATCAGCTCTTTAATCATCATGATCACCTGAAGGAACGCCCTCATTACTTGAGGACAAGGCCCCAATCCATTGATCTRTCTCCTGTTCCATCCTTCCATCACTCAACACACCCAGATATTACGTGTTCACAGAAAGTCCTTTGGTCCACTTGTTTGGTCCGGACCAAATAGCAAACTTTATTTGGTGTGGTTTGCATTCATTTTGCTTTTTGAAAGCAGACTACAACTTATAAACAAAGCCACGCATGTGACAGTCACTGCTCCTATTGGACAGAAATGATGGGGGCGGGGCAGAGCACAGACCTTTGACATCACTTCCTGTTTCTTCACATGCAAATATCTCAACAACCGTTCATCTGAGTGACGTGAAATTTGTTTTGCAATATGTTATCATTGTTCTCTTTCCAAAAATGCATTCATGTTTATTACAAAAAAATTGATGTCACCGGAACTTTAAGGGCTGTTCTGAATAAAAAAAAAAGCAGTTTGAGGAAGGTTGATGCTGGAATTAAGTGTCAAAAATAAAAGTTTATACAATATAAAGGAAGTTAAAGTCTATAACAAATTAAACATTATGCACTTTATTAACAGATTCAGAAGCTGGTTTAGTTGAAATGAAAGAATGAAAGTAATTTTAAGACTCGGTGGTTTAAGTTTCTGTTTTTATACTTTTTGCTCCCATATAATATATTATTCAGTCCTGCTGATAACATCTGTTTATTTCTTTGTTAAATCTTGCAAAAAATGAGGCCAAACTGTTTAAATTGTTCAAATGAGTCTGAGTGCTTTTTGTGCCGCTTCTTACCGTGAACTCTGCCCAAAACAAGAGACTTGATGCTGCTTAAATCTCCATAAGACGTCAGGTTGAAGGTTTCTCTCGCATTTTGGTCGACCTGTGAAAAAAAAAGAACAAATTAGTAAACATTTATGCTGAAGGAAAAGGCTTTTAAGCAGGGAGACAACGTTTATGCAGATTTTCAGCTTAGAGCTGAAGAAAAACGACGAAGCAGAACTCGCCGAATGCAAACGAAATGTAAAAACTCAGATTTACGGCGATCTTCCTGTGAAGAAACGAGCGTTCAGAATGATAGAAACTGATAAAGCGAGACTCGTATTTCACCGTGAGTCGAGGGGCTGCACCGAAGCACGACGAGGTCACCTTGTTATTTATCTCGGTGTGTTTATAATTATACAGACACTCTGACTGCTGCTCAGATACGTTTCCCTCGTTCATCATCTCAGGCTGTTAACAAGATAGGTGATTCGGTAAGTCCAGATATGATTAGGTTGCTTCATATTTCATGGTGTTTCGCTGCAGCCGGGACAAAGACTGAAGCTACACCCGAGTGCTGACTCATAGCTTTATTGTAAAGAATTCACTGTCTGTGTGTCCTTGAGAGGTGGTGAATGTAGACGTAAAAAAGTTTTGTTTTAACACTTTGTTTACATCGGATACAGGACAGCAGTGGTGGTTTTACAGCAGAAACGTGCGTTCAGTTCAGAGAAAGTGAATCACGTAAAGCAGATGCATCGATCTGGTCAGAAAACAGATCATATGCTTTATTTGTCCCAAAAGAGGGATTTCTTTAGAGCTTTGAAACAAATTTCACAGCTGCATCATTCATGTTTCAGCTGTCAAAGGAACTAATTCAGTGGTTCTTAACCTTTTTTGAGGTACCGAACCCACCAGTTTCATATGCGCATTCACTGAACCCTTTTTAGTGATAAATAAAGTGCGATTTTTTTCCAAATTCAAGACGTTTTTTTTATTTTTATTTTTTTGCTGCTGTATAAAATGAGCCGTGCATGAACATCACCTTGCTCAAAGAACAAAACCAACACAGTGCATGAACTCACAACAAATTACAGTATGACTTTATTCTGGCCCTCCAAAAATATTTTGGCCC